AATCGCCGCTATCGGGCGATTCATATTGGTGCGGCCACCCGCGAGATGGCGCGCGCTAAAGGTGAGCGACCCTTGCCTTCGGGCTATTCGCTCGTCTCTCGTTCAACATGGGACCGTCGCTTCGCCAATACTCCGCTACGTGCAGGCGCCTTCTTCTGGTACAAAGCTCGCGATGGATTCTGGTGGTTGGGCAAGATTACTGGACCGCCTCTACCGTCTGACTTCTACGTCGTCCGATTCTTGGACGACCCTGGCCCTGTCAAGCTCGCCCTTCCTGATGTTCGCTACTCCACCGCTGAAACCGCCGTCTCCGGATCCTGGTGCCTCCAAGTTCACAGCGGCAGCGCCCTTTTTAAGGGAATCCTTCGCAACGTCGACATGTCGGGTGGTGACCCTGGGACTGATTCGTTGCCTGATAACGTTGCGCGCCCCCATTAAGACGACATGCTGGGTTGTCTTGGCTTTCTGTTGTTTCAGCGTTGTTTGGGTTGTTTTTAGCCTTGGTTGGTTTTCCCTTTTCCCTCGCTTTCTCTAGTGCCTTTAGGGTTTTGTCCCGACCTGCAGTAGGTGTTTCGCGCCCGTTGTTGTCGTTTATTCGCTGCTGCGGCGACTGCGTGAGTGGCATATCTTCTCGGGTTTTTTTTTCGATACCGGTCTGTCTTGTCGTTCCGGCTGTGATCCTTCCTTTTTGTCGTTCCGACGACCTTTGTTTTCTTCTAGCTTTCTTACTTTCTTCGTGTTTTCCTTTCTTCGGTTTCGACCTTGTTCCGGTCGTCCTCGGCCTTCTTAGCCCCGCCAGTTTCGTCAGGTGTCTTCTGGTTATTTAGATGTCAAACCATGGTCTTGCGACCCATCGAGTGAGAGGTGTGGGAGGGTGAATTGTGCTGTTTTGGAGCTCCACATCCTCGATACTTTCATTTAGAGACTCGACAATTGCTTGTCAAGACTCCGAGGTTTTATAGTATCTGCGTATGAGAACCTCCAGGGTGGGCTAGTGTTATAGGATTCAGATGTGTAGACGGAACATAGAAGATAATGGTTCCTTCTAGAAGGCGCGGAGAGATGTAACTCCCCGCGGAAGGATAAAACAGGGGACAGGATCTAGTAGCCCCTGCTTGTATTGAGGATCCTGCGCCCCTTGGTGTCATTCCTACCGATACCCAAGGCAACAGCTACTGCTGCTGCTGTTCTGCAAGAGTAACAAGTGAGTTCTTCTTCACGGGTCAACCAGACTTAATCACGCGTGCATACCACCACAAAGAGGGGCATTTAAGCGTTTATGTTTTGGAGGTGTTGCAGCAGGGGGGCTGTTAAGAAATCCATGCCTCGATGTTTGAGAAACGGCATAATTGGCGAAAGTTTCCTCTGGCGTCTTCGAACGCCGGGTTTTTATTTATGTTTGTCTATGTGTGCCGCATGTATTTGGTATTGATGACTGTTCTGAACGATGTATTGGAGGAAGGATTTGGCATGTTTTGGTAAGACATGGTTGAGGCCTATGTGGTTCCGAAGCTTATTTTAAATTGGTCAATGAGTTGAAACATAATTTTGTGCGAGGATTTTGTTCGAAGTATTTGTTGACGCGTTTTGCCAGAGTTGTCCGTCCAGAGTCTTTATGACGTGGCTCTGATGTTATGTTGATCTTTGCTGAGTATTTTTCCATGTATAATTCTTTGTTTTTGACTGCTTGAGAATATGGTGATGACATTTTCTCGAGATGGTTACTTGTTAAGACTGCTGGTAGTGAAGTTCCACAGTCATAAGGAGGAGTAGTAACCTGAAATTTGAATATTCGATAGATCCGGGAGTTGAAATGATTTGTGGATGGATACGAAAGATGAATGGTTTTTAGAGTTGTTGCCGTTTTACCTAGCGATATGTACGGAGGATCTCGTAGATCGTATCTCGTATCGAGTAGGGGGGCTGTTTGTGTGTGGAGTCGGCAGGATACAATTCTCCGAGATCTCCGAGGGGGTTACGCAGATGAGATAGATATGAGTATGATAGACAGACTTGGTGCAGCAGGCTTTGCCTCTTCTTGCTCAAGTCTGTCACTCGTTAAACTCTCTCGAATAATCAAGGAACTTGAGTCACTCCTTTGTGCAACACGCTCTCGACAAAAGAGCCCGCGAGCGTGATAACATAGTACACGCGCCGACACCCCAAACATTTCTCGTGTTTTTTTTCGTCGTGTTTCTCCGTGTAGTGAGACATTCCAGGCACCAGGCGCATCATTTCGCGAAGACCTCAAAGATGCAAGAGGGAATCAAGCAAGTCCATGAAAACCAACATACTTTGCGCGGGCCCATGGTGATCAAGAAGGGCAAGCCAAACGACACTCAGCGCTTCCTACAGTAGTAGTGCTCCACAGCTGTTCATCGCCAATCGGTACTGCACGCCACCGCCGAGAGACAGACTGGAGTCGCTCCGAGGTAGCGCTCGCCGGTGTGCTTCTTGGTGAAGGAACTCTCTGAGTCCTCCGGTTTGGGGTCTTTTAGGCGGGCGGGGCGGCACGAAGCCAACGGCTGGGCTGTGCCATTCCGTTTCGCGGTCAATTTTCACATAGGGTGTGTATCGTACCAGTTCTGTACTGATAGTATAAGCGTATTGTACGACATCGGACCACCCGACGGGTTATACTGTTGTCTGCCGACGCAGTTATCGCACGACTTCGAATTGGGTGTGTTCTGGATGGTAGTGCGTGCCAATGGGAGGCTCAATCGTCCGAGACTGCTACTCTACAACAGTTTGTTTCGTCCCGTCTGGTGGTATTCGGAGGGAGATTTGTGTTTAGTAGCGGAGACACGTTAGGATACCGCGGAGGCTTTGTGCCGTGCGGGATAATCGATAAAATTAGACCATCCGGCTAGTCAGCGCTGACTAGCCGGATGGTCTAATTTTACCGATTAAAAGATATGCTCAGAGCTCGTTAGCACCCGGCCGGATCACATGGGCTTGAGCACCCGGCCGGATCACATGGGCTTGAGGCTGTTCGTAGCTTAATCACTGGGATTGAGAGTAGAGATCTCCGGGGCGTACAGTATCCCTCGCCAGACGCTGCTGTTTGGTAAACAAATGGCGGTTCTTGTGTAAGTGGACCACTGGGATTCGAACCCGTGCGTGGAACCTTGTGTAAGAAGGCTCTGACCATTAGACCACTAAGTCAGCGCTGACTAGCCGCATGGTCTAATTTTACCGATTGAAAGAAAAGGTCTAATTTTACCGATTAAAAGATATGCGCTGAGCTCGTTAGCACCCGGCCGGATCACATGGGCTTGAGGCTGTTAGAAGCTTAATAATCACTGGGATTGAGCGTAGAGATCTCCGGGGACGGACCCCTCGCCAGACGCCGCTGTTTGGTAAACAAATGGTGATTCTTGTGTAAGTGGACCGGATTGGGATTCGAACCCGTGCGTGGAACCTTGTGTAAGAACGCTTTAACCATTAGACCACTGAGTCAAAACATTGGCTCTCCGGATGGTCTAATTTTACCGATTACGGGACGCGTGGTACGGGGGAAGTCTCCCTCCGTAGGCCACAGAAAATATAAATCAAGGCAATTCGAAAGAAAAACAATGAAATGAAAGTTTGGTGTCGAAGACCGAACAAACTGGTTTATTGTGCATGGAAGAATTCGGAACATCTCCCAGATCTACGTGTGTATTTGGGTTCTTGTTGTGCCGCCCTGGAGGCGCCTTGGTTCGGATGTCTTGGTTCGGTTTTCTGGCGTCCCAAAAAGAGAAAGGTCTCACGGAGTTCTCATTCTGCTGCCTCGCTGCTCCTGCGGCAAGAGTTTGATAAACGCTTGTCCACTGGACCCAAGGGCCACGTTGTGAGAAAGACACAATGTGCAACATGCCGCCCGCTTATTTGGAGGGCCACGCGGCAGAGAAGGGCAGCAGCTAGCTACATCGAAATTCAGACGATATAGCTAGCAACCATGTGGTAGCTTCTCTCCCGCCCACCCACCCCTTTTCTTTAGAAGGTGGGGGATAGGAGAGACGTTACGAAGTGAGGGCTCACTTAGAAGAAGCCTCTTAATATTTTCTGTGACTCGGAGGAGCCACCGTTGCTATGTGGAAGCAAGTTAGTGTAGCATGGAGTGTTTTCTGAATGGTGTGCACAGTGGTTGATGGCAGCGGAAACAACGTCAACGTTTCAGTGACTCTTCTTGTTTTTGTATGGTGCACATTGTTTCATTGGTGCTGCGGTGTACCTTCACCACCGACGTACAAACGTAGATGCGAACACCAATCAATGTACACGCACCTGCATGGACAGCGTGTTTTGCTGCCGTATATGTACATGTAGAAACAAACACAATCGCGGGGGATCTTCAACACTCGACTTGTCGTTGTTTGGGAACTGGAAAATTCTCGAGAAGTATTTCGGTAACCCCTCCTATGATGTAGGCTAGTGGTGTTCGAAGTAGGTCAGTATGCCGTGCCCAATAAGAGTGAGTCTCGACTAGACCCCGGGACAAAACACCATGAGTCGCGGATGGACTTTGGCCGTTATTGAAGCGCACATTTACTGGCCCATGACGCAGATAGGACCCTCGAAATCTCACCTACCTCGAACCCAACACACGGCGATCAGATCCGCAAAGCCCAAACCGTATGCCAAGCCGTACAGAGGGCGGGACCAAAACGCTGAGCTGAAAGGAGCAAAAACAGAGCAACTGCTGCACCCCCCCATAGTGATACTTGATTGTCCTCACTTCCCGAATCCGATCAGCAAATGACCAGGAAAAGCAACTCGAGACAAAAACACGCCAAAGCTGGAGGGCAGGAGAGCGAAAAGGCTAAAAACCAAGCTACGGCATATTGTAGACTACACAAGAAACGAAGACATCAAACATTAGCATTGCCACGCAACAAGCGCCCCGTTGAACATCTCCCCCAAGCCCCTTCAACAGACCTGCATCCCTGTAACACCTCCCCTACCCCGCATCCTTTCGTCTCTAATGCCGGCAGAGTCAGAATCGCTGGTTTGTCCCGTTACGTGGGACACCATCCTCCTGTATTTTTCGTTTGCTCCCTCACGCCCATATCCTGGTCTGCCTTAGTAGTATTATAGTTCTCCCTGATGACCCGATCCGAGCTGGCGCGGATGGCCAAAACCTCCTGGGCTACTTTGTGTCGGAGGTACAGCTGCCTCAGGGAGTCATACCGGTGCTTGTTCAGGAACAACGGGCGGCCGTGTCGAAGCTCTGTGGCAACCAAAAACGAGAAATAGGCGCAAGTCACGGACGAATTGCTATCATGCACGGGCAACGGTGACAACAAGACGATCTGCGCAAGTTTCAAACAACAGGTGGCGTTTTCGTTGCCGAAAGGGGAAAGCACGTGTATTTTTCGCTGTTACGGGGATGGCGATTTCTTGATTAATATCCTAATCGCCGCGTACAACCAACACACGCACACACCTACTGCGTGATAAACACGAACGATATCAACCAACGGACAGCAACAAGATCGGGGCCCTTCTCGACCAGCGGGAGGGCGAGTGGAACGACAAACACATGATTACAATGCCCCCCAGGACTGGGCGTTACGTGACTGACTTACGTGCGTCCTCTTCTCCGTGATCGTCGAGGTAGATGGACGGGTAATAGGCGCCCCTGCTGTCTCGGATGAGCAACACCACACACCCATCATAGATTGAGCAGAGAGAATCGCGTGGTCCCGTGGTCTGTTCATGTCTTCGGTACCCGGTGCCTGTGTGGTGGTGGTGGTGGTGGTGGCGGCGGTGGTGCTGCTATTGTTGGCTTCGCACTACACACGGTCCGAGGTCTACGCGGCACCTCTGTCTACTGTACCAACACTCTCCATTTTTCTTGCACGCGTGAGCCTATGTCTGCGTCACCACAGATTTCCGCTGCGAGAGACAACGAGCTTGAAACATGAGCAATGTGTAGCGCTTTACCAAATATCATCAACTACATGACGACTATGCCTTGCTGACGTTCGATTTCTACGAAGTCCTTCTTGTCCCAAGCCACACTAACTCGAACCAGAACACGAGCAAAGCTTTACCAAAACAAGGGATTTTCCGCCACCTTCCGTCAAGGCTCCGGGATGGTTTTTCGAGACATCTGGATGGCGGCTTGATTTGTTTTTCTAGTACAGAATAAACAAAGGGTGGCCAGCTGCAGATACAAAAAAGAGGCCCCATCGCTCGTCTGATGTGCCACAAACAAACACATGCGAAAACTGCAGGGAAGCCGCACCCCAAGAGCTGATGATGTACAAGAGACAATAATAATACCGTACGTGTGTACCGTACGTTCGCGTCTGAAACCGAACCACGGCGACTCCACTCGCCTCTGCACCAGAAACGAGGCGCCCACGCCGGCCGAGGCGCCCACGCCGGCCCCGCACTCTCTCGCGTGCAGGGTGCACTCTCCCACGTGCCCCATTCCCTTTTCCCCGGCAGCGAGGACCTGCACCCAATAAACAACCAAACACACGGCCGTACGCGTGTATTCGTTTGTTCGTGAGCATCAGAGCAGAAAGACAAAAACACCAGATGGCCATCGCGATTCGTCAAGCAAATGAAGAACACATGCTCCCCTCCTCCACACCCGAACACGCACACATAGGGACGGCCGTACACCTTACAACTTTATTGGTCAAACTCGGGTGACTAACGTGGTCAGGAGGATATTTCACCTTCAACCAAGCCAAGAGAAGAAGGCCACCGCACCTGGCCGAAGACAAGGCACACCGCCGGGTCCGTCTCAAGCCCTGCCGCAGCCCCCTCCGCCGCCGCCGCCGCCGAAGCGTGAGGGTTCCTGGCCAGGCCGTACAGCTCCGTGTAGCTCCTGGGCAGCTCCACGAGGTCGTCGTTATCCTGTTGACAGCGAGCCGAGAAACAAAACATAGATCACACACATCATGGACACGCACGGGCAGAGTAGGGCACAACAGCTTGTCAAGCTCAGGCCACAGTTGACCATGTTAAACTGATGCTGTGGCGGGCGGCAAAAAATGACCATATTGCACAACTTGTGATCACTATTATAGAAACATCACCACAATGCTATCCATTCCCATCTTGTCTTTGATCCTTGGCGTAGTCAGAGGGCCATGACCGCGGCCAGCATTAAGGTACAAAAACAACACGTGTGAATGAACGGCAAAAACACGCACTGCTGTAGATGGTCACATCCTGCGTTGCACGCGCACCTGGCAGCTGACGCCGAGGCGGCTGAGGTCGAACACCACCCCCTTCAGAGGCTTCCCCGTCAGGTCTGGGGTGGTGTGCCCCCCCGTGAGGCTGCCCAGGTGCGGCATCACCACCTCTTAGTAAGTAACAACAGGTATTAAAACGAACGTGTGAGGTCAAGAGGTGAGCGGTTGCAAACAGAGAAAGCCGAGTAAGTGTCGCACTAGAAACAAGACACGACTATCTGTCGAAGAAATGAATTGGACGTTTTGTCAGAAAAATCTAACAAAAACAAAATGATTCTTCAGCAGCTATCCGTCGTGACTGCATCTGTGGTACCCTCATACATGAACCCTAGGGGGTCCGGGACTATCTGTCGAAGAAATGAATTGGACGTTTTGTCAAAAAAATCTAACAAAAAAAATTGAAACTTCAGCAGCTATCCGTCGTGACTGCATCTGTGGTACCCTCATACATGAACCCTAGGGGATCCGGGCAGGAAGCAACCACATCAGTCAGCGAGCAAACAAATACGTACGAATACAGATGACAAAACCAACGACAGCAGCATGGGTTAAAAACATCGCAAGTTGATACAGCGACGCGACCCCATCTAGACAAGTATTCTCCTATACCGGAGGGAAAAACTAGGTGCGCAGCAAGACCTCACGGGAGATACCAGAGCAGCGCCCGCTTCTGCAAGAACACCTTCAAGCAGGGAATGACTCGGCAGAGAGTGACTAAATCCACAGATACGGAATAAATACATAGATAGTTAATGAATCTAACGATAGTGAAAGAAGGAACCTACAAGTAGTGAATGAGTCGACAGATCAAACATTACAACCAACAGCGCGGAGTGGTCGCGCGACCGCGCGCAAGGAGACACAAGGGATGCCCTACATACCTGCGGAGCCCCCCCCCTGTTGTAGCAGCTAGAGCCGAAACATCGCCAGGCCATGCCGAGAATCAGCCATCCACGAAGGCGCCCACCGGTGGAGGCAAACACACATACAGGGGATGGAGGCGGGAGAGAGGGATTCGTCAACAGGGGGAGACCACAGTAGATGAAAAAAAAAGGTAAGTCCCTGATCAATCTGCCGGGTGGGTTTTCTCTTGAGACGAGTTCAAATTACGGCACGGGACACACCAAAACGTTTTTCAGAGGGCCTCAATAAACATATCATGTTATATATATACTTACAGGATGGTCGTCGTGACGTGACACATTTCTTGTCATTAGTATGGAAAAAAAGAAAAAAGAAATGGCTCGATTTTTGAATTTCTACAGTAGTATGGACCTGACGCCGACTTTACATGGAAGTCGTACGAGTGTCGACTTAGTTGTGCTGTCACAGCATCTTCCACGCACTTCTGCCAGTGCTGGTTTGTTGATTGGAGTCTTGTAGGTCGAGATACAGCAGTGGGGTTCTCGTGTTGTGGAGGCAAAAGTGAACCAGAGCAAAACATTTCATGCATAGCTCGATTACTGCTGCTGTGTTTTTGCTACAGCAGTATGGACTAGACGCCGAACGACGTCCGCGTGCTACAAGTACCGCAACGACCTAACGGGATGGGATACTTCTTGCCACGGGGAACCACAGCAGTACAATGCGATGCAAACATCCGTTCGTGTGTCGCGCGGCTGCCACATGTGTCGACGACAGGTACACGTACAGCTCTCGCCATGTTGTCGTTACCGCGCAGGAAGACGCCTCGGAGATCTTCCACATGGTGCTACAACGACAGCAGTACTACTGTACATAGATGTCGTAGGAGAGTGGAGTTGTGATGTCACGGCATCTCCCACGCACTCTCCTACCGGTGCTTGTGTCGATTGGAGTCTTGTAGGCCGAAATACAAGAGTGGGTTGGACTCCCGGGTTGTGGAAGCAAACCTGCAACAACAGAGAAGGCGGTGTGCTATTTACTATAATAGAGTAATTCCGCTCAACTTTTTTTTTTTCGCGGCATGTGGTCGCATATTTCTTTGCCACTGCCAAAAAAGACCGCTAGATCTTTACGCAGTCCACCTTTTGCATTTATCATTTTACACTGAACGACGCAGGACGGGTCGACCTTCATCGTTGTTGCTGTTGCTGTTGTCTCCACATTAAAAACCGTTCCGACGTCCTCCTCGATACTTGTGGACTACCTGTTGGAAATTGTGGGAATCCCTTCATTCTGAGAGAGAGAGCCATAGGTCGCCATCCGGCCTTTTCTTTTTTTGTATGCACTTTTATTCTTGTGAAGTCTTGACGTTGCGCTTGCCATCGTCGCCGCGTAAGTGTTTGTGTCTTCAAACCTTCTCAGCCGGCCTTCAAACTTCTTGTTCATAAGTCTCCGTGCGGTAACTTCTCCGCGCATGAGTCATATGCAGCTATGACCTGCGCTTTGACTTTCACGATGGGTATTTAACCTCCCCGTCTTGCGTTGGTGAGTACCTGCGATATACAGAAGGATCGCTCCACGACGCAAACGTCGACGTCTCCGTTTTTTTTTTGTTCCCTTCGCACTCCATCCTTGCCGCGGTTTTCACACCGACTTCGAACGTGGGGTGCAATTTCCTCTCTTCGTACCTTCCTCGTCGGCCTTCTCCGTCGTTGTGTACATAATGTACAATACCTCCATTTTTCGGCTTTTCGATTCCGATAGACAAGACTACGGACTGACATGTTCCTTTCATCCCCGACAGGACCGCGCGCTCGTCGAGTGCCGAAATTCTTCATCACTTCCTTGCCTCTCCCAACACCGTCCCTTCTTCCCGCCCTTACAAATCCTCTCCCCTTCTTCTTCTTCTTCCCTTCCTCCCGGACACTCACCACCATATCCGTTCTGGATGTTGGCCCACAGCCCCATTGGGGGGCGGGGGGCCAATCCTTAACCCTAGTCTTGAGATAGGCATGAGAAAACCAACATGATAAATAGATGGCAACTTGAGACGAGGTGGGGAGTGATCATGATTCGACGGGGCGGGGATGACTCGTGGCCGAGTTTAGGGAAGGCGCGTTCACCACAGAAGGAGGAGATTTGCCCTACCTAGGAGCAAGGGAAGGTTGTGCCTCCGACAATCTGCCATGCATCTTTCATTTCACTCAAGACCGTTTGGGCACTTTGACATCAGTATTTGGCGTCGTCATCATCAACACTACACCGTCGTTTTGGGAGTAAATATGCCCAATCCTTGATATAGTGGGCAAGCCTCGTATTCGAAAAACAGACTAACCTCGTGAGTGCAGAGGTGTTGCTGCTAGCGGTGTTGTTAAGTCCAGTGCCATAGCGTGCGGTCCTACCAAACATAACACACACATGACACTTCACGTTTCATTACCAGACTCGTGAGCCAATCAAAGAATGGAGGGCTAGCGAACATTCATGCTACGGCGGTGGCTGGGTATCGCGACCTCGTACCGAAGAAGCAACCCAACCAAGCGGCGGCGAGCCGAACACCAAAGCGATCTACAGCAGCAGCACCAACGCTAACGTAAAAGGCTGCAGCGGTCACACGTCCGACGGCATCCTGTTGGCACCGGCTGGAACAACACGCCAAACACCAACACACACCAAATTGCTCACATGAGATGCCATGGGTCCTTTGTGGGGAGCCATCAATGCCAGAGACATCTAACCAAGCGCCCGGCGACCTGCGTAGAGCGTGCCGCACATATCTTTCATGCCAACCTGGCTAACTATATCCGTCATTCGATGCGCGGCGGTGTGTGACAAACTATATTGGGCAAGATACACAGGTCTCTTCACCTGTGCAGCCAAGGCACCGGCATCACCGACGGCCCCCAGCTCCGCCACGAAATGCGCCTGGACCGCCGCCCAATGGGGCGGCATCAGAAGGTCTGCGGCATCGCCCCCAGCCCGAGCACCAGAACCTGGCGGCTTGCCTTGCCACGCCTCGTCCGAATCTTCGGCCCAGTCACCCCGGTGGTCGTCGTTGTTGCTGTCGTCGTTGGGCCAGAGAGCTTGACCATCGTTGGCGTCCTGTTCATGTTGCTCATTTTCGTCCATGACGTCAACGACTCCGCCCTGCATGCACACGACGTCGGAAACGACAGCAGCAAGGCCCAAGAAAGCAGCATCAGAACTGTGTGGGTACACACAAGGAAAAACTTGGCTGGTCGTGTCACCATTTCGAAGCATCTTGACCACACGTGATGATTCCTTGGCAGGGTGCGAGGTGGCGTTTATTTGGTTCGACGTGCTGTCATGGCGCCAGCATAACCCGGCGTGTTCTCATCCGTCTTTACCCCGCTTTACGGCGGCAGATGCCGTGCTACTGGCGTTGTACAACGACAGGGTGCCACTGACGGTCTCCCAAGGGCGCATAAAAATATTTTTTCCGACACCCCAAAACTCTATTTTGGCCCTCTCCGGAGGTGTGGGGGGGTACGAAGGCCCCACCCCCCACCCCCCAAACGCCATACAATTTCCCATATAAACAAGCCCATACTAAATCCTACATCTAAGGGGGCATATTTCACGCACGGGGGTGTGGTACAATCCACGTAGCCCCTGCGCGAGCTTGAGTGTACGGGGGTGGGGGTGAGGGGGGAGGAGGATGGAGAGGACGAAGGAGCTTGACGCGTAATACAATAAAGTACTTTCCAATTGTGGACGGTGGCGAAGGTGATGCCACCGCCGTAGGCTCATTTGCGTACGCTTGGATTGATGATGATGACGTTTCGACGCATGGGTATGTGTCATTTGGTTCTGGTGTGTCGTTTGTTTGTGTTGTTTCGCCATATTCGCTCAAGGTCAAATGTCGTGGACTTGTCGCACAGGCATTGATGAGAAGTTGTGAAAGCTTGTCGCTTGGGGGTTTGTCCCCAAGCAATATGCTTACTTCAAGACTGACACCTAGAGGTGTGTCCCTAGCCCATCACACACCTATAATATGAAGGAGCAATCTGCTTCTTCCAGCGCCGGAGGCGCCGGATGTACATACCATTAATTAGCTCAAGCTTAGTTATCACACTACGCCTGCACACGCCAGCACACGCAATGGAGAGGGAAAGCCAAGAAAGCCCGTACACCAATGGTACCACGAAAACAAAACCATTTTTGGCACCCCTCCACGGGGGGGGGGGGGGGGGGGTCGGGGTGTGCAGGATTGTTTTTTTTTGCGCCCTTGGGTTTCCAAGTAATCCTTTGGCGACAGCGGCGTACTACCATCAGCCCACCCCTACTTTCTGCGCGCGCGGGCGAGGTGTACGTGAACGTACTCCCGTAGCCCGTACAACCCGTCCACAAGGTGGTGACCCCTGCCCCGCGCCTCCCTCCAAACTACATCCCGAAACCACCCCCACCCCCACCCCAGCGCTTGCGTCATTGTTGCCAGCATCCTCCACGTCCTCGAGCGTCTGCCCGTCGTCACTGTCATAATCCGAGTCCTTCATCGTACCCCCTGCCCCCGCTCCAACGACGTCGTCGTCGCCACCCCACGCCACCCCCGCGGGGAGCGCAGCGGCAGCGGCAGCGGCAGCGGCAGCGGCAGCGGCACCGGCAGCGGCACCGGCGACGGCGCGGACATTCATCGCCGCGGCGTCTACGGCGGAAGCTTAAGTAACATGGTCAACATACCTCTCTCCCTCACCCTACAGCATACGAGATTACAGCGCAGGCTGCGCGCCTCTCTGCACCCACGGTATGTATCGGGACTCATCGGATCAACGTAGACAACCACCACTCGGCTCTAGATAACACGTGCACTCTCCAAGACCAAAAAAGGTAAAAACTCGAGGCGTTGTAGAGAACTGGAGGACACGTGTGTCAGTGCTCTTGTCAACAGTATTCCCTCGAAGTACTGTTATGTATATCAATTCATCGATGTGATGAGCTGATTTGACGTGAAGACAACAAAAGTATTAATATGCATATGCATCGATGATAGATCGTAATAATATTAACCAATGCATCAATGTAGCGTATGATGGGCGAGGTGCTGTACTGTAGAACGTTCCGCAATATCCAGCGAAGTGCTCGTGACGTGGTCGACGACGGCGCAGGGAAGGCTCCTGCCCAATGATGTGAAACGGGGAACGGGATGCGTGCAAGAAAGAACCGACAAATGTTGTGGGACGCTACGGATCTCCCGCACTTTCGACGGTTTTGCTAAGCCTCCTATGGGCATGCTCATGGACATGCCCACAGGAAGCCCATGAGGAAGGCCCACGGCAAGCCCATGGGTGGCCTGTGGGCAACCCATAGGCGGCGAATGAGTGTCGTTCAACCGGGGCCAGTGTTCTCCTAAACCATAGATCTTATGCTTTGGGAAGGGCATTATTACCGCTAATATTCTAACCCTAACCCCAAGCCCACACGATACGTGCTAGGTGTCGCTAAGTTCTAGGTTGATGTGCCGTTGGCGAGTTCTAGGTTGAAATGCCCACGGTGGGCAATTCGCGGGCAGTTCATGGGCTGCCCATGAGCTGCCCCGTGAGGGGTTTCGCAAAACCGCCGGTAGTGTGGGAGATTGCATGACGCTACATGTAAGAACCTAAAGTTTTCCAGGCGTACGTGTGAGAATCCAGACCTGAACACACAGGAATGGCCCGTGGTGCCATCTCACGTCGGAATACGGACACCCCGCCATTGTTGAAAGTTTTCGGGAAGCGTTTACCGCACACAAGCCATGCTGAAGACTTGTAGGCGGGGGGCGGGGGGGGGGGGCGCTACCCGGAAAAAATGAAAAAAACGGAGTGAAGGCATCTTGTGAAAACACCCCTATGAAACCGCCCTTCACCGAAAGCCCCCAGCACGCAAAAAGCGCTTCAAAGACTGGCGTATGGTATTCATTGTCCACCACTTTTCCTGGGGATAACTGACTACCGGGCCTCACACCAAATGCCATCATGGCAAAGGTAACATAAACATCACAATATGAAAAGCGCCTGCACACATCTCTCACCGAAAGAAGGCTAAGACCATCTTTTGCTGGTCCTGTTTGGCGACATCGTTCGCGTCCTCGTCGATGGTGGCGGAGCGGAAGCCCTTCGTGGTGGCCTCCTCTACCAGCTCGCGGACAGCCTCGACATCACCAGAGGGGGGCTCCTCATCGCCTTCGCCAGCTTCCTCCCAAAGCGCTTCTTGTCCTGCAAAATGAGGAATATTGTAGTGGAGCAAACGATGTTACAGAAGTAGCAACAACAACGAAATTATTGTGTGTGTGTGCCAGTATGCATTTTGTGTCGATGTTCATGTTCTTCGCGGGCGCGAAAAGAAGGCGAGGAAATACACTACAGGTGTTTATTCCCTGGTGAGAGGTTTGGTTCCTTCAGGCATCGTTCGGAGTCTCAAGCTGTGGCTGATACTGGTTTCTGGGCCTCTCGTCTGATTCCACCGGCATAACAGACACGTGCAGCACAGTCATACCGGTATATAACTGCCCGCAACTGAATACCCTGCCCGTGATAGTACTGTACGTTCCCTCAACCTCGTCTATTTTTTTTCTGGTGACACTAATACTCGGAAATTCTAACTTCAAGTTTCAAATATTCTGCTGTCAGTACATGCGCCAGACAACGAAACCGATGTGTTTTTGTGGACGGTCAACGGTACTGCCGAACGCGGAGGGGTCAAATTCTCTTGCTATTACTCTCCAATCTATCGCCAAAAGTTCGATCCCCGTGCCGGGGGGTGCAATATGTGAATGCAAACAATCTCAGGTACGATAATTGTTCGCTCTGCTCGCGTGTGAAAGCTCTCTTCCGATGTCTACGCCGTGCCCAACGACCCATAAAAAGCGTGTAGAAAATGGGCGTTGTGGAACAAACTATTACCTCCAGCCGAACTCCCGCCGTGTCGTCCAGGAAGGGCCCTGGGATGATCGTGGGAAGTAAAGTGAAAAGGGGAGCGACAGGCGAGAAAAGGACGGACGAAAGGGCATGTAGACTATAAATATGAAGTGCATTGACAATCCTTATGTTTTCGCTGTCCATGCACCCTGCGCCCCTTCTTCTTTCAAATGAATGCCGTTCTCCTCGTCATTAGACTTCCCAGGTGCCTTCCCCAGGACCTTCGTGGAGTACAGGGCGAAAGCTTCGCTGATGTCGGTGGGAGTTGTAACTCGCCCATCCATCAAAATACTCATTCACGGATTAATCGTTCAGGGCCGCATGGATGCCGGGCAGTACAGGGCTGCTCAAGTTTTGCGTCGGAGAAGGGCCATAAATTTGCACGCTGTACACCCAAGAGCGTTGTCCCCGGAACGAATTTCAGACTGTAATACGAACTCCCCGTCGTTGTTGGACTCCGCAGGAATTGTTGGCAAGGACATTCAAGAACTTGCGATAGGGGTCGTACACGGAAAAAATATGAAACGTATGAGGACATCTGTGCATACGCACTGTATCTGAATTGAAAAGAGAAGAAACAACTCGCACAACAAGCGGGGAGAATGAATGATTGCTGCAAACGACGACGCGGTGAGTTCGCCCTCCACAGAAGCGACGAAGCCGGCCCCGCGGCACCCACTCCTCTTGTCGGCGAGCAGCATGGCCGCCCAGGGCGGGCAACCTCGGCTCCCATACCGTTCGCGGCGGGCAGGATCGGTGGAGGCGGAGGCCTACTTGCTGCTAAAAAGCAAGCCAGCTCCCGGTCACGTTTGTCGTTTCCGCTTGCCGTGTTAAACTCGAGCTTGGGGCAGGCGACGGACGACGTTTCACAGCTGGCCGGACCGGAGTTGGCTTTCATATCAGTAGCAAGCAGGCCTCCGCGCCGAAAAGTCCTGCTCGCCGTGGGAGAGGGAGCAGAGATAAGTGGGAGCAGAGATGTTCCCCCACCCGGGGGCCTCAATGCTTCTCGCAACGAAGAGGGGCGGGTGCGCGCGACTGTCCAATCTATCGCCAAAAAATCGATTCCCGTGCCGGGGGGTGCAATATGTGAATGCAAACAATCTCAGGTACGATAATTGTTCGCTCTGCTCGCGTGTGAAAGCTCTCTTCCGATGTCTACGCCGTGCCCAACGACCCATAAAAAGCGTGTAGAAAATGGACGTTGTGGAACAAACTATCACCTCCAGCCGAACTCCCGCCGTGTCGTCCAGGAAGGGCCCTGGGATGATCGTGGGAAGTAAAGTGAAAAGGGGAGCGACAGGCGAGAAAAGGACGGACGAAGGGCATGTAGACTATAAATATGAAGTGCATTGACAATCCTTATGTTTTCGCTGTCCATGCACCCTGCGCCCCTTCTTCTGTCAAATGAATGCCGTTTTCCTCGTCATTAGACTTCCCAGGTGCCTTCCCCAGGACCTTCGTGGAGTACAGGGCGAAAGCTTCGCTGATGTCGGTGGGAGTTGTAACTCGCCCATCCATCTAAATACTCATTCACGGATTAATCGTTCAGGGCCGCATGGACGTCGGGCAGTACAGGGCTGCTCAAGTTTTGCGTCGGAGAAGGGCCATAAGTTTGCACACTGTACACCCAAGAGCGTTGTCCCCGGAACGAATTTCAGACTGTAATACGAACTCTCCGCCGTTGTTGGACTCCGCAGGAATTCTTGACAAGGACGTTCAAGAACTTGCGATAGGGGTCGTACACGGAAAAAATATGAAACGTATGAGGACATCTGTGCATACGCACTGTATCTGAATTGAAAAGAGAAGAAACAACTCGCTCCACAAGCGGGGAGAATAAATGATTGCTGCAAACGACGACGCGGTGAGTTCGCTCTCCACAGAAGCGACGAAGCCGGCCCCGCGGCACCCACTCCTCTTGTCGGCGAGCAGCATGGCCGCCCAGGGCGGGCAACCTCGGCTCCCATCCCGTTCGCGGCGGGCAGGATCGGTGGAGGCGGAGGCCTACTTGCTGCTGAAAAGCAAGCCAGCTCCCGGTCACGTTTGTCGTTTCCGCTTGCCGTGTTAAACTCGAGCTTGGGGCAGGCGACGGACGACGTTTCACAGCTGGCCGGACCGGATTCGGCTTTCGTTTCAGCAGCAAGCAGGCCTCCGTGCCGACAAGTCCTGCTCGCCGACAAGTCCTGCTCGCCGTGGGAGAGGGAGCAGAGATAACTGGGAGCAGAGATGCTCCCCCCCCCGGGGGCTTCAATGCTTCTCGCAACGAAGAGGGGCGGGTGCGCGCGGCCGGCTGCGTCGCTGCTGTGGAGGGAGAGTTCACTACGTCTTCAAATGTGAGACAAACATATGATGTATGTCCCGGAATCACTCTCTCTCCCCCCGTGTGTAGACTTCAGATGCACGTACATGGATGCATTGTCTACCTATGTAGATGATATTCACGCAGGCAGTAGTCTATGCGAGGTTGGAGTTCGCACAAGGGGGTGCGGTATCTTGCACGACAACTTGCGATAGGTGCAGTTTGCCGCACCCAATCCCGTTGTCGAAAGGCACAAAGAGCAGCAGGATGGAGCCCGAGGACGCAGACGACGAGAGAGCAAGAAAACAGAGCAGACTAAAAGCCAAAGAAAAATTTGCCCGGCAGTTTGCCACCGCCATAGTAACCGCTACCGCTGCCGATATGGACGGAGCTGCAGCAAGCATCGTCATTGAAATGCCTTGAAAAAAAATGGGTTCTCTGGGAAGGAAGGATTCCTGTTAAGGCGTCGTCGCATATCTACAACCACACACACCAGGCTGTCGGGCGATATGAAAAAGAAAGAGAAGTGAGTGCCAAGAAAATGGTCACCGATTAGTGGAACGATCTTTGTCAACATGCGTCCGCTCTCGGGACTACAGTATGTAGTTGTTCTCGCACCAGAATATCATCCCGCAGCTGCCCAAACATTTTCGAAGAGCTTTTGAGCTTTTTCGAAAACACCTGATCGGAAA